GTGGTATGTTTTATTTTATTAAATTTTTATTTTATTAAATGCTTTAACTAGTTGTGCACTGAATAACAACAAATAAAAACGATCTTTGTGTTAAGTTAAAAGTTGCAGAGTTTACAATTTTCTTCTGTGAAAATCGTTTCTGGAGATATTATATAGCTCGATATAAAATATACAAGAGAGATTTATATTTTACATCACCCCTTAACATGTTTTTCTGTCTATTTTTATGACAAGGTACACTTTCCTCTTCAGATTGCCACGTGCCTCACGTGGAACTCATTTTTTCCGCCGGTAATAAGAATGATAGGGAAAAGTTTTATCGATTATAGGTCCACACCATCTGCGTCTATATTGCAATTGTATTATCTTGATTGGAAAGAAAAAATGTTGGATAAAAATAAGTTCTTGCATTTCTGACAGAATTTTTTTGTAACCCCAAAAGTACGGGGTATATTGGGATGCGAAGAGTTTAGATATAACCAGCATCATGATAATTACGTAATATTTTATATTTGATATTTAATTTATACAGGCCTAAAGAAACCACTTAACCATTACATGAAAATATAAGGAATAATATTTTTGGCTCATTTGGAAATAGAATTAGAAAATATTATAATATGTAACAATAAAACACTGAAAACTTTGTTTTCAAACTTCCACAAAATTTATTTTAAATATTATCACTACAGCTGTTTCGGCTGATTGCCTTTCTTAAGTGATCTATTTTTTCTTGGGTTTACAAATTTATAGTCTCTAATTAAATAGGTTGAGGAGGGGAGAACTGTTTGTCTCAAGTTGGTCATTCAGAATTATATCTGTGTTTTTTAGTTTGTTGATTTCCATAGACTCTAACAAAGATAGCTTAAGGCCTTTATTTTGAATGTGAAGAATTTTCAATTTGTCATTAAAAGAATGATTATTATCTAGAAGGTAAAGTGCGTATGTCGAATCTGTTTTTCTATTCTTGAAAGCCCTTTTATGTTCTGCTATTCGTTTATCAAAGTTTCTACCAGTTTGACCGATGTAAGTTTTTGGGCAGTCGCCACATTGAAGTTTGTACACACCACTATTTAAGTGTTTTTTATTTTGGCTCTTGTTATTTTTAATATATTTGCCTAGGTTGTTATTTGTTCGGAAAGCTGGTGTTATTCCTTTCTTTTTTATGTGTTTGGCAATTTTTGTTGTTATTTTGCCTGTATATGTAATCGAGCAGAAGGTACTGGGTTTTTTCTCTGGTGGTGGAAATACTAATTTCAGGGCTTTCTTGTGTAGTTTTTGATTTAACATTTTATTAATTGTTTGTTCGTTGTATCCGTTGTTTACTGCTATCTGCTTAATTATATTTATTTCTGTCTCAAAGTTGTATTTTAAATATAATTAAGCAGATAGCAGTAAACAACGGATACAACGAACAAACAATTAATAAAATGTTAAATCAAAAACTACACAAGAAAGCCCTGAAATTAGTATTTCCACCACCAGAGAAAAAACCCAGTACCTTCTGCTCGATTACATATACAGGCAAAATAACAACAAAAATTGCCAAACACATAAAAAAGAAAGGAATAACACCAGCTTTCCGAACAAATAACAACCTAGGCAAATATATTAAAAATAACAAGAGCCAAAATAAAAAACACTTAAATAGTGGTGTGTACAAACTTCAATGTGGCGACTGCCCAAAAACTTACATCGGTCAAACTGGTAGAAACTTTGATAAACGAATAGCAGAACATAAAAGGGCTTTCAAGAATAGAAAAACAGATTCGACATACGCACTTCACCTTCTATATAATAATCATTCTTTTAATGACAAATTAAAAATTCTTCACATTCAAAATAAAGGCCTTAAGCTATCTTTGTTAGAATCTATAGAAATCAACAAATTAAAAAACACAGAAATAATTCTGAATGACCAACTTGAGACAAACAGTTCTCCCCTCCTCAACCTATTTCATTAGAGACTATAAATTTGTAAACCCAAGCCAAAATAGATCACTTGAGAAAGGCAATCAGCCGAAACAGCTGCAGTGATAATATTTAAAATAAATTTTGTGGAAGTTTGAAACAAAGTTTTCAGTGTTTTATTGTTACATAAAATGAATTTCCATCAAGTAACGGTCGAATCCATCAAATATTATATTACTGTTGATTGAAATATTATAGTGGTATATATCCAATATTTCAATCGACGATAATACCAAGAGGTTATACACTAACCAATATAGTGCATTCTATATTTTAGCCCTTAATAACTTCCTTAATAATTTTCGTTTCTTATATATTCATCATTTTCTGTTCTTTTTCAGTGTTCATATTTCTCAGTTGCATGTTTTAATGCAACTGCTTAATTAAAAGTAACTAAAATCGCATCTCATTGATTTATGAAGACACTTCAAAAATCAATAACGATGTAATATTAAAATACTAAACAGAAAATCTCAATAAAAAAAGGGGGAGATGTCACGAATTGTACCAAGATATGGTATCTCTTCATAAACCCTCTTCTCCTAGTCTCATGTACTTTCCTCCATGTTCTATCTTTGCCCACAGAAAATTATCTCTTATCGAAATAAAATATTGACAATTAAATGCTGCTTACAACTCTTTAAATCCGGTGACCTCTTAAAAACTTAAAAATATCTGCTTGGCACTGTTTGACTGCGACTACAAAAACTTAACGAGTTTTTCTACTTTTCACTTTTTATCAAACCAGCAAAAACACCAGAATTTATTTTACTTTAATAATTTTACGAAGAAAATCAAAACAACCTTTCTCTTTCCAATCTTTTATTAAACTCCTTGTGTTTTATTTTTCAAAATCCTTTCTCGTTTTTCTCTCCTACCCATTTCTCAAAATCTACTTATTGACCTATCACAACACTCCAAAAAACTACATATCTTGCACCTTCTCTTTTATTCTATATCCTCAACAATTTATGCAAACAAGATATCTACCTGTTTCTCGAGACACAAAATCTACGCGATCATAGACCATTTTGGAATCACCAATATCGACATCTTTGTTTTGACTACACAGAAAAATAACAGCGACTTTCTGATTTCTAGATAATTTATGTAAATTTATGACTAATAATCCTACTACATACTTATCTTGTGGTACAATCGCTTACAAATAAATTTTAATATTATGAAGAAACCCTTTCAATCTTTATTAATAAAAATGAATCGCCAAAATGTTTGTATGGGCATCACTTTAGAACGACTTTAGCAAATTCAATAATTATTTGTTTGTTTGTTTGTGTAATTGTGTCATTATCAGAAAAAGGATTGTGTAAAAGATAATTTCCAAAAAAATGTACGGAAAGACTTCAAAAATAGTTTTTATATCCCCAAATCGCAATATAACTAATAGATGGCGCCATACTATGACTAACAAATAAACAAAATAAATATCAGTATTGATAGATTGCGCTACAGTCATACAACACTGAATATACCGGTTCTCGTTCGATCTCCGAAGTCAAGCACTATCGATTGTTAACTGCTTGGGAAACACTCAATGTTGTTGCTATGTGAAACCTTCATTCTCCGAAACGGCTGGACCGATTTTTATAAAAATTTTCATGTGTATTCTGTAGATTTAAGAACAAAATTTTTATTTTTATGATGTGGCATTAAAATATACATAAAGCTCTAACTTTTACCCCCTCTATTACTATCCACTTTTTTTAATAGCCCTATTAGTGTCACAAATTTAGTTGAGATATTTCTTCGAAACATTTAGAAACAGGTTGTTATAGGGTCAGCTAGTCTGTTAATAATTGATCGTTTGTGCAATCACTTTTTATTATTAAAAACACACTTTCACTGGGGTACACTAAATGCTTATTTTTAACCTTAATTTTTGTATTTGGTAACTATTTTGAATTTATTTTTATATGTGGTAAACACCACACTTATACCAGACCAGTGATTTAAGCTCTTAAAAATGGCTTTACTTTATAATTAGAATCTGCTTGTAAGATCCCATTTCTATTATCTCCATTTAAACTTCTTATCAAGAATACAGAATTAATTATCTCTACCTCTTAGGTACCTAGAAAAACTTATATAAGAAGTATCACGAAATTGTCAGAATTTAAAATAAATGTTCCATATATATTACAGAAGTTTTATTGAAAGTTTTAAAAATTTCCTACTACACTCTGGATATCTGGGGCCCGTTTCACAAAACTACACATTTGTCAGTTACAATGAAATTCTTACAAGTTTACGAATGCACAAGTATTCACTTGTAACCACTAGTGAATTTTACAATTTTACAAGTAAATTACTTGTAAGCTACCAACAATTTACTTGTTCAACACAAGAATAGTTTACAAGTTTGTAGTTGACAGTTGTAGTGAACTAAATATTTTCTACCTAACTTTGAAGGTAGGTAGTTGATTTGACAAGTGTAATAGAACAAAATATGATCGTAATGTCTAATGATGGTAGTTCATAATTTTCTTAGATGGCGTCATTAGTTTACTGTACAAACGGCGTGACTTGTCATCATAGCCTTTTATATAGATAGACTAAAGATTTATTATGTTATCTTGTCACTTGAGTCTTATTTCACCGATATTAGCACGAAAATAAACAAAATCGTCTTTATCTCAAACCTTACTTAAGGTCGATTCAGACACATCAGTCACGTCACAGTCACGGTACCGAACCGGTCCTGTTTGGTCACAGAACTATCAACTATCTGACAGCTGGCAAACTGTTCGTCAACTGATGAGTGTGAATGCCGGTTCCATATTTGTATTAAAGAATATTTTGTATGACGGATTGTTCGATTCGGCGCAATCACTGTGACGAGATGGTGACGTGACGTGACTGATGTGTCTGAATCGACCTTTATTCTGACTTACTGCAGTCTTGCACTGAGGGTGCGTTATATTAATAACGTTAAGGTAAAGACTTACACTACCAGTATAAAAATTTAAACTTTCAAACGATGATCGCTGAAAAACTCTTTTTCGTTTCAGAATTACGATGTTAGCTGATGTCGAAAACGACTTGGAGGACACTTCATACCTCTGGAGATGAAACTTTTTTCCACTTTTTCTTTCATCCTGATCTTGTACAGCCCTCAGCCTTTCTCGCTAGCACAACGACTGTTGCATTCGAGAGCATATCATTCTGACGATGACGACGATCATGTCGATTACCACTATGACGAAATGGACAACAAACTTCTTAATCACAACGCTTCAGGTGAGTAGAACGTTTTGTTTCTTATACGGTGCATTTGAAATGATATTTTTAAAGAAATATTAATGTTAGCCAATTAAAAGGACTTTATTTATTGTAAAGTTTTAGTACTATAGTAGAAGCCACAGTTAGAATGTAGTGCAGGTATAGTCCGTGCAAGCACTCTTGACCACGGCACAGTAGGCGAAATTTGGTTTAGTTTCCACTTCCATGCGAAACGTACTGTACTATGCAACGTGAAAATATCGACTTGAAAATTTTTAGTTGTGTTTCTGACTTTGAGGTGTTAACTTCAATAAGTTTGTGTGTTTTTTCCCGTTTACCTGTTGCGTATTCAAATTTATTAAAAGCGGTCAAAAGGTAGGTACTTTATCATAAATTAAAATACATAGGGGTGCATTAAGGAAATTTTAATAAAAATTTTTCATTTCTTTTTTGTTTTGACACTGGTGCAAAACAAAAATTACTTGCAGTCTGTTTCAATTAATCGGTTAATATTTGATATTGGAAAATCTTTTTTTTTAATATTTTTATATTTTCATTTTCTTTACAGTGCCATCACAATTAATAACAGCGTGTTATTCACAGTCAGGGCCGACATATTGTTTACAATGTGTATAGTTTTTAAAAAGGAGCAAGAAAAAAACAACACAAAATTTTTGGTTTTAAATATGGTTGTGGAAGCCACTGAAATTTCTAAAAGTAGCGTCCAAAGAATCATTAAAGAAGGAGAGAGAGTTTCTGATTTTTTATCTCCTTCGGGCAACTCGGGAAATGTCTTTAAATCTCCCAGAAAAAAGATTAATCAGCCAAAACCGAAATCCAACGTCGATGGTTATGAGGGAGAAATTATAAGAAATACAGTGCATACTTTTGCAATGATTCATGGCAGCAGGCCTACAATGTCAACTGTTTACAACGCTGTTAAGAATGATATTAATTTCCAAGGTAAACTATCGTCGTTCAGAAAAGTGTTGATGAAATTGGGTTTTAAATGGCAAAAAACAAATGACAACCGAAAAATACTCATGGAAAAAACGAATATTCGAGCCGAATATTCTAAAAAAACGAACACAAACGAACATAAACAAACGAACCGAATATCTAAAAAAATATAGAGCTGAGGGTTTTGATGTTATCTACACTGATGAAACGTATCTCCATAGCAGCAACCTTATAAGGAATTCAGGTATATAACTAAATCCAACTAATTACTAAAAGGAAATCCACGTATAGGTAGGTAGAACCTAATTATTGTTCTATTGTTTCTAATTGTTCTTATCTAACCTCATTGCAATTCCTATTAATCTCTGATTTCTGGTAGATATGACGTATGGAGAATTCCAAACAAATTATAAATCAATCATTAGCATTCAACAAATCAGTAAACAAATTGTCACTAAATTAAATTATTCGCTGTAGCCTTTTTTGAATATCGTTTAAGTTACCGTCCTAAATACGCTTATAAATAAATAAAAAATTAGTTAATTTGTAAATAATTTGTAAGCACAACTGTTTAGAAATTTTAAAAATAAATTATTAAATTAAATGTGTATTAGTTATTCATCTCATAATATTAGTAATATGTCTCAACTTAAAATAAGAAATTGAAAATATAAACCTATAAACAATAATTTTGCAATAAATAATAGGGCTATTTCCACGTTTAATACCGAAAGTTGAGTTTAAAACTACCAAATTAAAGCCAGTTTAAAAAAATTTGAACAAAAATAATTGAAAATATAAAAGAAATGCACATAAAAACCATTTTCGTTATGCACCGTGCAATTTTTTATTTATTACTCAGTCCAACACTGTAATTATTTCGAAAATTTTGGGGTTGCAGTCTAAGGTAGAACCAAAGAATATAGACGCTTATAGAAGAACAGTTCAAATGGGCGATTTGGTTACGGTTTACTTTAAAACACATCTGGCAGTCAGTCGGCTTAAAACTATCATAAAAGATGTAGTTAGGGGAAAGTGGGAAAGGAGTACGAACGGAGCTATTTATTTAATTTTGCATCTACGATTAAAAAAATTCCCATGCTTTTTTTGGTTTTTACACAATAAAATCTTTATTTTTAATACATTAAATTTTTAATTTTAAAATTTAAAAAGGTATGATATTTACAATATTCAAAGCATTTATTTTTTACAGTTTATAACTTTGAATTAAAAATAGGTTTGTTCCAACACAACGAAAAACCGCCACATAAATTTTTATTATACTGTTTTTCTGCCCAAAAATTAACGAAATATTTTTTAAAAATTTCAAGATTTTTCAACCAAAAATTTAATTTTCCACTTTTTAGACAATTTTCCATTATTCTGCAGAAAAACAGTGTTGTGTTTTACATTTTATGTTATTTTATATTAAAAACAAAGAAGAAGAAATTATTAAAATTAGAAAATTTGGAAATATTTAATTCCGGTGATTGATGACTTTATTGATTTAATTAATTTTATTTATAGTTAATAAGAAGAGAGTTTTAAGTATATTATTTGTAGATTTGTACATGTTTAAATTAAAAATTTGAATCATAATATTTTTTCTAATAGGATTCATTTATTAAAAGTTAAAATATTATTTTCTTTAAAAAATGTTATAAGACGCAAAAATTTAATCCTATTCTACGGCCACGCGGCATCTACATAAAAATATCTGTTGCATTTGTTGCCCCACTCTTTCATATTTTAAAAGCAATAATAGCGCCGACATGACCGCTTCCTACTGGTACTAAAACCTCGATCCACCCTCTCATTCTTTTTCATAACGTGCGATCATCTTTTGCCAACTTTCAAACATAACAGTGAAAAATCCTTCTATAAGCGTCTATATTCTTTGGTAGAACGTTTTAGTTTGGTTAGTACCTATAATTCCACTTAGAATCTTCCTACCTTTACGTGAATTTTGACTCCGCCTTCGCGCAGCTACATGGTCAAGAGTGCTTGCAAATACTATAAGATATTCAATGTATTTCTTACGGAAGAACGGCTGATCACGTTGCCGGTTGCCCCGAGAGGCACATCGGGACCAGATTTAAGAATCATAGCACTGGAATATACGCGCACATAACAATTGCCTACGGTTGTGTAAAAGACTATCATTATTATTTCAATAAAAGCATGATTCAATCATCGTTGTATAAATAAGAGTTACATTGTGGAACTAAACAATAACATGAAGAAGAAATACAATAAAAAAAGTAAAATATATCAACAACTCATTGTCTATAGCTTATCTATATTAATCAATTTTCAATAGCGTCCATTGTAAACATGTTCTTTGTGAAATAAAGATCATTATAAAGTCATTAGGAGAAGCGAATCAGTTTTAATCCCATTGTACATGCAAAGCAAGCATGTTTGCATGCAAACAAGAAAAAATTGTTGGCAAAAACTATAAAAGCTCAGTTCTATTTAATTTTCGCAAGCGGATGAAAGTACCTACATTATAGAGCCGTTGCCAGTATCTGTCGTGAATTTCAAACAGAGAAAAGTGCAAGTAAAACGTATGGTGTAAAATAAACTATCATCTTAACTTAAAAAATGATGACAGCTTGACTATTACTGTAAAAAAAGTTTCGAAAATGAGCGATGTGAGTGGTCGCAAAATTTATGACATCCGCGAGGAGGAACAGCACGGCAAACTGAAACCGGTATAAAAGAGGAAGAAAAACAATTTCCAGCCCAGTTCACGTGAGAATACGTCCTATGAGCGAATGAAATCTTTTTCTGAATATTTTTTTTTGGAAAACACCACCAACCGTCGACAACATAATGAGCAGAGTGAAGGATGATGAGGACCTACCAGCTTTTTCAAAAACCACATTTTGTAAGCTAGTCAATGACGTGGGTTTTGAATATGATAAAAGAGGTCGAGATTAGATTATGATGGAAAGAAAAGATATCATATCCTGGAAACACAAGTACCTCAGACAAATTAAAACATTAAGGAAGATGGATAATGTAAACCTTGTGTATACTAATGAGTCTTGGATTAATATCGGCGCTTCAGTCAAAAAAGAAATGGAGGGACACAACGATCAAGAATCCACAAGGTGGCTTCATAAAAGGGTTCTCTACCGGATTGAAAGCTCCAACCCAAATAGGTCCTTGGTTTGTTTTTCTTTATGCTGGAAGCAAAACTTTGTCATTTTAGAGAACGCGTCATACCACTCACGCAAATTTGATTGCTCGAAAAAATCTGGAACAAAAGGTAAATTAAAAATTGGCTAATCGAAAAGAACATTTTCTTCGAGGAAGATTACCTAAAAAGTAAATTACTGGATACTGGCAGCCACATTTAGAGATGAGTACGGCGAAAAAATTGCGAAAAATATGTCGTTTAGATTTTGAGACTGCCGCGTTACCATTGCAAGCTGAACCAGATTGAGATTGTGTAAAGTCAAGTGAAAAGGTATGTAGCTTAAAACAAAGTGACTCTTAATAATCGAAATGCTTCGATCAGAGATTCTATGGACCTAGCAATAATGTCTGTCATCTGCAGATCTGACCACTTGTACAGATTTATTGAAGATGGTGTCATTCGTATTAATATGGCACTCTCTAATTACTTTCTCTAGTGCAAGGTTAAATAAGAGACACGGCAGTCCATCTCCCTGTTTCAGTCCATTTTTACAATGGAAGGGTCTTGAAAAGTCGTTTTGGATTCTGACTACACCATCTAAGCCTTGAAATTCTACCGTAGCCTGTAGAAGTTTTTGTCTGTTGATTGAGTCGTATGCGGCTTTAAAATCCACGAATATGTGGTGGGTGTCCACTCCGAACTCAAGCGCTTTCTCAAGAATCTGCCTGACCTTAGTTAAGTTAAGATTTAATTCGTTGTTGATTTATTGAGTCAGAAACCACACTGGTAGTTTCCAACTATTTGTTTAGCATAGGGTAATCATCTGTAGAGTACGTTGAACAATACTTTATAGAATAGAATAAAATAGAATAGAATAGAATAGAATAGAATAGAATTTATTTAATCAATATAC